TTTTCATCATTTTTACCACATTTCACCCACCGTTAAAATACCTTTTATATTTTTCATATTTAGAAATATTTCCCGCATGGCGCAGTAGTTAGAGTGTCAGTCGCCAAGAAAGGAGTCAATTTTTAAGTCGCGGGTTTTAAAGCACACTGTGGGACGTGGAGACCAGTCTCTCGGATGAGACCGTATATAAATCGTTGGTGATTGCACGAAAAAACTCCTTTACTGCTAAATGGCCCAAAATGCCGAGTATGGGACGAAATCTGTAGCGACAAGTGGTTGCATCTTCATTTGAGTGAAAAATTTCTCTCGAGGGGGGCGCTAAATAACATACAATCAACCAATCTTACTTTTTCTAAGGTAATGTTAATGTTAATGAATTTGACAAAAAAATTCTTTATCAGATTGTGGGATCCCTATCGATATAATAAAAAATACCACGTGGAATGTGCAGGACTGGGAAGGAATAGGAATAAGAAAACGAATGCACATTAAATGCTTGGATTCCTTTGAACAGCGGGGGTCCGGAATGATCGTGTGCCATAAAAATGGGACCTGGATAACGGACTTGGTTTGTCAAGGTTTGAAAAAAAACATCTTTGTATTGGCATTTTTAAGTATTTCTTTTTTTAAATAATTAAATAATATATATGCTTACCTGATCACATTGATACATGTGTATGGTTAGCACATTGGCTAGGAAAAAAGCTTAAGTCGGTTAAGCATTCAATAGATTTCACACCGGGGTTGGACTGAATTAAAACTTTTAATTCTAAACTTACTGAAGATTCTTCTACATCAGTATAACTAGTGTCTGTGCTGTTCTTGAACAAGAGATTTTTTCTACATATTCCCTTGCCGAAACAATCGCCATTGTCGCCTCTTCCTCCTTCCCAAGGAAGGGAGAATGATAATTTGATCCAACTTAAATCTACAATCTAGGAATGGGTCAATGAAGGGAATGACCCTAATAATTCAAAACCATTAAACAACTCAGGGTGTAAAATTACGTTGCTTTTCTTGAATTCCAATTTCCTGCTCAGTGATACAAGCATAGTAAAGATTTAAGCGGAAGTGGGGGAGCTAATAAGTGAAATATAGACCTATCAGAAATCATGTTTGTTTCATAGGCGTCGGGACCGGAGGGTTGCAAATATATACATTATATAGGCATTGAAATTGGGGTATACCTTTTCTTGTAGAGATGCTTGAGTTTCTGATTGACAATATCTAAGTAGTTTTTGGAGACCAGGTATTCCAACAATCTATTCGAATTTCAATGGGTACCAGTTGCGCTCCGTTATTAGCGGACCTATTTTTATACCCCCGCAAACGAAGTTTGGGGGGGGGGGGTGTATATAGGAATCACCTTGTCCGTCCGTCCGTCCGTCTAGCTGTCTGTCCGTCTGTCTGTGCAAACGTGTCCGGTCCATATCTTTCTTACGGAGGAACATTACAATCTACTACTCCACTCAAAGATTACCCATGACCTAAAGGTGTCTCATGATCTTGACCCAAGGTCATTTGAGGACGTTCAAGGTCACTGGAAGAAAAAATTCATAATTTGTGTACGGTCCATATCTTTCTTATGGATAAACTTGGTGGGTTCTTATTTCACACAAAGATTGCTTATAACCTAAGAGTGTGTCATGACCTTGAAACAAGGTCATTTGGGAAAGTTCAAGGTCACTTGAAGAAAAATTTCATAATTCGTGTCTGGTCCATATATTTCTTATGCATAAACTTGGTAAGTTCTCATTTCACACAAAGATTGCTCATGACCTATGGTCGTGTCATGACCTAGGTCAAGGTCATTTGGGGAAGTTCAAGGTCACTGGAAGAAAATTTCTATAATTTATGTCCGGTCCATATCTTTCTTTATTATGGAAAAACTTGAATCTACTACTTCAAACAAACATTGCTTATGACCTGAGGTTGTGCCATGACTTTGGACCAAGGTCATATATGCAAGTTCAAGGTAACTGACAGAAAAAGTTCATAATTTTTGTCTGGTCTGTATATTTAGTCTATTTTTTTTATTTGACTGCGCCTTCGTTTCATTAAAAAAAAAATAAAATGAGCAATTACATTTGCACTAAAAATGTTTTAGCATTTCTCTCTTTTCTTAGATCCATAAAATATTCATGATTTAGCACTTCTGAAAAACCCAGCTGGGGCATTTTGTCCCGTTTGGGCAGTTCTAGTTTTTATTCATTTGAAGCAGCATTTGTGTAAAATCTTTTACGTGTAAAGAAGAAAACACTTGTTGTGGCCTTCAAACCCTGTCCTTTGTATTGATTTTTTAATAGGCTGCACCTTATTTTCATTCATTTAAAATATAATGATCAGCAATTTATGAACATCTCTTTCATAAAATATTCTGAAAAGTCAGCGGGCTTTTTTTTTGTCCCGTTTGGACAGTTCTATGTGATCTTTAATAAGATTCCTTATCTCTATACGTTTTATTTTATAAGTAAAAAGGAAAAATATTTTTTAAAGTCCTTTTTTCAAACTTGCAAATATTTCTAGAACCAATATCAGTAGTTGGTGCTGACTGTAAGGAACTCCGTGAGAATGGTCACACTGATTCCGGTGTATATGAGATCTATCCTTATGGTACATACACCAGTCCTATCAGTGTTTATTGTGACATGAACACAGAGGGAGGCGGCTGGACGGTATTTTTTTCATTTTTTTTAATTAAAAAATGACATACATGTATTAGAGTTAAGAATTATATATATTGTTTTTGTCCTCGATCAGACACACACAACCCAAAGTCAATACATGTCAATTGCTAAAAAAATTGATTATAAGATAAATGTACTTTATTTTGAAGGCAATCCAAAAACGTGTCAATAATGGATCAGTGAGCTTTGATAGAACATGGAAGGAATACAAGAAGGGATTTGGTGACGCGGGACTGGATTTCTGGATCGGTAATTATTTATTAAATTGAAAAAAATTCTAAATATCCACTTTCTTTAAGTCAAACGAGCAGAACAAAGGCTTGATTTTTACATTGTTAAGTTTCTTGGAAGCGATATTCATTTCTCTCCTGTAATTCAATTCGTAAAGATAGATCAGAGATGGATAAAAATTTTGAACAATAGATTGACAATACTTACAAGTCTTCATTATCAATAAAACTAATTTTCTGAAACTTGAGGTTTCAAATTATTTTTTCAGAGTGTAACGTAGGTAGCATAAGGCAATACAAGTATTTTTAACTCTTCCATAATGCAGCTTTTATCCCCTATTAAATTGATGTGGCCGTTTAATGACATGTAAGCATAATAATTTTGATATACGTTACTCAGGAAATGAAGTAATCTACCAATTAACAAAGCGACAGATCTCCAATCTCTACATTATCATCAATCTGGTGGACGGGAGCAGGCTATACGAGTTGTACGATCAGTTCTCGGTGTCAAATGAAGCAGATAGCTATCGACTCTTTCTGGCGGGGAATGCCTCGGGAACCCTAGGTACTGTAATAGAAATTTTCTCACATTATAAACGAAAGATAGAGGTGTGTGTAGAATTAGACATTCCTTAAAGCTTACCGGTAAAGAAAAAAACGTGAATGCCTTAATAAACAAGCTTCGTATGGCCATTTCAAAAAAACCTTTCAATACCCTCTCCCGTTCAACTGGCTAAAAATGGCCTAACTCATTTTGTTTTAATCCCAAGGAAGTATTTTTATATGTAAATGTCAATGATAATGAAATTTTCTGAGAAAAACATTCTCACCTACATGTACCTACCGACCAAATATTTTCATACCAAGTCGGAAGAGGATAACAAAATTGTTTGCTCGATATAATTCTCTAGGTGACAGTATGATGCACACGGGTTATTCTCGTCTGAATCTGTCTGGGATGAAATTCACGACGTCTGACAGAGATAACGATCAATATGATGAGGGAAGCTGTTCCTCTCTCAATAAAGGAGGCTGGTGGTTCAACAACTGCCGCCTCGCCTTCCTGAACGGCCCTTGGTCTACAATTCGGTGGCCTCCCAAAGTTACATTCTGGACACCCGTCTATGAGACACTAATGATGATCAGGCATCACTAGGTAAAAAAAAATTCATTGCAAGAAAGCACTATATTTTAAAATATAATTTCATTAATGTTTTAACGGTGGCTTTTAAGCACAGGCGCTTGTTTCATACAGTGAGCTTAGTTTTCTACTATATAATAACACAAGGTATCCATCTTTCCCGAGACCAAATATGTAGGTCACCAATTCAAAGCCCTTTTTTATTTATTATACGCAACTGGCAACAAAAAACCCACATGTAATGGTTTGCGGAATCCCCCTTCTTGGACCTCATGTATATTTCCTTACCTCACCCCCTCGCGAACTGTGACATTGACCATAAAATTACACGCTTCGTCAATCGAAAGAAAAAGTACATCTCTAAACAGCTCAGCACTTCCGGTTTGGCAATCGCGATATAAAACACAAGATCTCATTGGCTACTGGTACATTTTGCACTGGTGTAGAGAGTATCCTTTACAAAATATTTTTGCTTTAATAATAACTATCAGATCATCTTAAAAATCTCCAACACGTTGTCATCTCACAAAATATTTGAAAGAAAACCTAGAACAATATCGATTTTCAAATTTGCGCCAAAATAATATTTCGGTTTTCTCTTGTGCCTTATACAATTGCATGGAAAACTCCTGAGAGTACCAGTAGCCAATGAGAACTTGTGAATCATATTGCGATTGCCAAACCGGAAGTGCTGAGCTGTTTAGAGATGTACTTTTTCTTTCGATTGACGAAGCGTGTAATTTTATGGTCAATGTCAAAGTTCGCGAGGGGGTGAGGTAAGGAAATATACATGAGGTCCAAGAAGGGGGATTCCGCTAACCATTACTTGTGGGGTTTTTGTTGCCAGTTGCGTATAATAGCGAGCGCAGCGAGCGTCGCGAAGCGACGCTCGCGAAGCGAGCTCAATAGACTAACGTGTATGAACAGAGGAAATTCGGATTGAAATCTGTACATACGTCAGCCAAATTTCTCTGTGCAACATTCCCAGAATTCCTGCACTACCCAATGTCCTTTGCGCGAATAAATCAAAAATAGTAAAAAAATTAAAGGAACATTGTTTCTTACCGAAATCTTAACGAAATGATTTTGCCTTACCTTATTCAAAAAAATACCCCCATGCCACTACACCGGCCTTCACCTTGCCCTTCGGAAATGATACAAATGACGTCACCGGAAACTTACGAATTTTGACGAAGTTATGTCGGTTGCTTCCGTGAGACTCGGAAAACATGTTACAGTGCATAGCAACATGGTGGCTAAAACATAGCAACAACTTACTTGAAAAGAACGATTTAATGCAATCTCTTTTCCATAAAACTAGCGTTTGCGTCCTAAGTCAACAGAACTTTTTATCTGACGTCGTTTTTCGTCACTTCAACGGTTCGGGTATTTCCGATTTTGTCGGAAACTTCCAAAAAGTTTGGAATCTCGATCCCGATGCTTGGGAAATGATTTCTTTTTATTGTTTTGTTTTTTCTTTGTTTTTCTTGATATGATAGACAGTACATGTGTAGGTTTATGATAGTAAATAAACTGCGCTCGTCCCAACGGTCACACCGTAAAACATATTAGCGAGCGCAGCGAGCGTCGCGAAGCGAGCTCAATAGACTAACGTGTATGAACAGACGAAATTCGGATTGAAATCTGTACATACATCGGCCAAATTTCTCTGTGCAACATTCCCAGAATTCCTGCACTACCCAATGTCCTTTGCGCGAATAAATCAAAAATAGTAAAAAAATTAAAGGAACATTGTTTCTTACCGAAATCTTAACGAAATGATTTTGCCTTACCTTATTCAAAAAAATACCCCCATGCCACAACACCGGCCTTCACCTTGCCCTTCGGAAATGATACAAATGACGTCACCGGAAACTTACGAATTTTGACGAAGTTATGTCGGTTGCTTCCGTGAAACTCGGATGTTGCGGTGCATAGCAACATGATGGCTAAAATATAGCAACAACTTACTTGAAAAAAACGATTTAATGCAATCTCTTTTCCATAAAACTTTAGTTTGCATCCTAAGTCAACAGAACTTTTTATCTGACGTCATACTTTCGTTACTTCAACGGTTCGGGTATTTCCGATTTCTTCCGAGAAGTTTGGAATCTCGATCCCGATGCTTGGGAAATGATTTCTTTTTATTGTTTTTGTTTTATTCTATTTGCTTTCTTTTTCTTGAATGATAGACAGTACATGTGTAGGTTTATGATAGTAAATAAACTGCGCTCGCCCCAACGGTCACACCGTAAAACATATTAAATAAAAAAGGGGTTTGAATTGGTGACCTACATTTTTGGTCTCGAGAAAGATGGATACCTTGTGTTATTATATAGTAGAAAACTAAGCTCACTGTATGAAACAAGTGCCTGTGCTTTTAAGCTGACACGAAAGTGATATGTTCATCATGCAGTAGAATGGCGTCTGGCCTGCTAGAGTGCCTTAATTTTAGTAAGTAGAAATTCTTTTATATATTCGATATTGGACTGTTTTGATGTACGATTTCTGGACATAGACTTTAAATTGGACTTTTATTTTATTTTCTTACTCTTTTAGATTATGGTGTTAAAAAAGACCTTATATACACAACTTTTTCCCGCAATTACGTCATAGTTACAGAGCGTAGCCATCACACGTCACGTGATGCATCCGCCATTACAACCGTGAAACCCGTGAGCCGTGAAAGATGTACAAAGATGGAGGGGGCGAATCGTGTGCTGTATTTAACTGTTTTAACAACAGAAAAAAAATTTATTTGTGGAAGCAGTCTATCTGCAAAGTTCACGGTGACATTCTCCACAAAGATTGTCCGTGCATTGTTCCATACAGCCTTCACAAGATGCCAAAAGCGGAGCCCGAAAAACTTCAATGACAACGAGCACTACATCGCAATGATTTGCCGAAGAATGTGTTTGTGTGTTCAACACATTTTATAGATGGGCGACCAACTGCAAGAAATCCCATACCCAGTCTGAATTTAGGTTTGTTTATGACTTAAAAACTCTGCATACAATGTTTAAAAATAGATTTGACGTTAGTGTAAAGTGAAAGTAGAAAGATGCTTGCAACGACGCATTCACAAACAAAGGATGATATTAATTTATTGTGCCTAACCACCTTCTGAAATAATTTGTCAATGTAAGAACAAAATATAATCTATAGTATATAGTTTAAATGCGTTATATTTTCTCTGGTTAAAATATGCACACACTCTGTAAAATTTTCAAGAGAACTGTGGGTTTCAAGAAAAAAAATGCTTACTTACTATATAGCTTGCACAATTTATGTTTATGCACAAAATACTTAGAGTGGTAAGGCATTTGTTTGATACAACCATACCCCCTTTATTCATCTGATCAGTGATCTACAAGTTAATTGCTGTTAGATTTTGTCTATTTCATGTGGAAAATTATGTGAAAAATCCACCAAAACACAAATTAAAGTATAAACAATTTATTTAAAAAATTCTTGCTGGGAGGAGGGATACATCAAAGATGAAGTTTTGTAATAAGTATCAATAATTTATATAAATTTTTACAGGTTATGAAGCTCCCATAAAAGTTGGTCGTCGACTTTTGAAAAGGAAGTTTGTTGCAGAACAAAAGACGGATGGGTATGTTTGACTCCAAATAATGAAAGAGCAGAGATAAATATATATTTTGTAGTGCTGCCATTGAAAATAATTTCAGAAAATTAGATATTATTTTGATATTATTTTTAGAGATACCTTTAGATACTTTTTAGATCAGTCCCCCACCCCACTTCCAAATTTAAATAAGTTATTGTGAAAGTTACCCCATATAATATGTGGAGTGATACTCAATGAGTGTGGTCATAATGGTCATTTTCATGTGCTATCTTGTTTTGTTCATGTTTAAACTTTTATTGTAAAGGAAATTTCTGCTATCACTGTCTGAAAAGATGATTCGTACGATATGCGTATTGTTGAAACTCATGATCAGTACATTCAATATATTCCTGTATCGTTATACATTGTAACTCTATTATCTATTAATAGAACTTGAAATTAATGATTTTGCTTTTATGTTTGTCAATTCTTGTTTTATACTGTAAATTGTTTTGCAGGACAGAAGTTATGAAACATCAAAAACTGGCTGCTACTGCTGCAGATGAAGTCGAAACCATCAACATTCAGACTGAACCAAACATGACATCTTCTTCCATGCAGACAAGCATCACAGAAAGCAGAACTGCAGGCACACAGTGGACGGATCCCACATTGTGTGAACATGAGTATGCAAGACCATTTCTTGCAGGATCCAGGAATTCAGGTACACAAACAACAGTCATCAAGATGGAGGAAAAAGGTGTAAACTGCTGCACTCTACATGTACGTCTCAGTGCTGCTGACATAACAACTAACTCCTTAGCCTTGCTTTACACAGGACTGCCATTAAAGACTTTTAGAACACTTTTGCGTGTTATGGAAAGTTTGGACAACCCACTGACATTTACTATGCCCGTGTCAGATCAAGTCTTGCTCGTTCTTATGAAATTAAGGCTTAATTTACTATTTGCAGATATTGCCAACAGATTTGGTATATCTGAGTCTCATGCATGCAATATTTTTAATCAAAGACTCTCTTTTATGGCTTCAAAACTAAAAAACTTAATAGTTTGGCTTCCACGTGAAACAATTAGAGCAACCATGCCAAAGTCTTTTCGTGAGAACTTTCCCAAAACTACCGTTATCATTGATTGTGCAGAAACTTTTATTCAACGAGCAAAAAACTTGAAGACCAGAGGAGAAACATATAGTCACTACAAGTCCAACAACACAGGGAAGTATTTGGTTGGTATTGCACCCCATGGTCAGATTATGTTTATATCTAAGGGCTTTGGAGGAAGGTCTAGTGATAAAGCAATTGTGGAAGAATCTGGGATTTTAAACTACCTTCTTCCTGGAGATGAAATCATGGCCGATCGAGGTTTTACCATTGATGACCTACTCTTTCCTCTGAAAGTGAAACTTAACATTCCAGCTTTTACAA